TGGGTGGGCAATATGCTAATGTTTCATGTTGACATGAACATGAAACAGCTTGGGATTCATTTTAAAAACAATTTGTTTTAATGATTCAGAGTCGACTCTTTCTTTTGAGAGACAGTAACTTTATACACGGTGCACTTTCAGATTTAAAACTTTGCAGGATATTTTCATTCACTTAGAGATGTGTTACACACTGCATTAAAGGTAATTTTCAAAAATTCGTAATAGGGGCACTTTAAGACATTTGTTATACAATTTAGAATACCTTAAATTTTATAAAACTTATTCACACAGGTGATATAAATATATTTTACAGTTCACAAAAATCTTTTTTTTTTGTCACAAATGGGAGTAAAATGCTTGCATTGTTGAGCCCTGTATGAAGATATTAATATTTCAGCTCTGAAATTAGTGTCAGAATAGCAAACATCTCACAGTGTGCTCATTCGTAATAGTTACACCATTAGGTGGCAAGACGTGTTTAAATGCCTGAAATAAGATTGAACGAACATTAAGAAAACAATAAAAGCAAAACACAGTGGAGTTTCTGAAAAGTAGGCTACTTGTAGTGAAAAAGATTTGGCTGTCAATCATAAAAAAGAACATATGGATAAACTGAAGCTGTTGCACTGGATCTCTGACAAAGTTGCTATAGCACACAGTCACTACAAAGACAACAGCTGCGCACCCCACCACTGCAGATATTTCACTGGCAGATGAACTCACTGACTTAAAACAATGAGCTTGCCATCAAACCTCACAATACACCAACAGATATAATGTATGCTTCAGCTTTCCAGATGTGAGGAGCACGGCATCCTACTGTTAAGAAAGTGAAAAGTCTCAAAGCAGTTTTCAGCTTTTGCCCCCAAATCTTCATGCATGAAGCAACTGTCTCCTGTTCTCAGTCATCTTGTTAAAGAACAATGTGACTGCCAGTGCTTTGGAAAACAAAGTCAAGGCTTAATAATTACTGTCTGACGTCCTGTTTATTTTGTAACCGAGTTCCAGAAAAATGTATAGCTAAACCTGTTCTCTGCCATATAGTTACAAAAATGGAATTTGTTTTCCCAGTTCCTGTCTGTTTTAACTTTACTAACACTTCATATTGAACCTTTTTCTTTATGTAAATATAAATCTAAGAACGTTTTGTGAATGTGCAGCTCTATTTTTACACAAATTCACGTAAAGTTGGTCTCATGTTCTATATTTGCTATTAATCATTCTTTTTTCTTTCATACCTCCAGCCAGTCATAACTCTAGCCAGTTATTCAAGCCTGAAAAAGGTTACTGTGGGTTTCGATTAAAATGCTAATCAATTGCACAGGGGCTATTTATAATAATTATAGTTTGAACTAATAATAAAAACCTAATTTAGCTAACCCTTACGTTTCCATAAGCCTTTGTATGTCCTTATGATCATAATCCTAGTCCTTAACCAATTAAGTTTGAACAAGACATCACGCCTCTGTACTTTAAATCCGGAAGACACGCCCACAACGAAACTTGTGCACCGGCGGCACAAAGCGATTGGCCAAGGCGCGCTGTCAATCACGGATCTCTGCCATTCCTTCCGTTCCGCCAACGAGACTTTACACAGATGTGTTTCAGGCGAGATCGGTTGAGGCGGTGGGACTCCGTTCGCGCAGCGGGATCAACTTCTTTCAGAGGGTCTACTGTCTCCTACTCGGACACCTTGAGTTCAATGTAACAGGCATCGTAAGCAGCGGTACAACAACTTTGTGGTAGAATTGAACACATTTAGACGGGGTTTTAAACGCAGAAGAAAATGCCTGTAGCTTCTCTCCTGCCTTTCACGGCCACCCCGAATAGGAAGTCCGCCAGCCCGACCTCCTTCAGGCTCACGGAGAAATTCATCCTGCTTTTAGTGTTCAGCGGCTTCATCACGCTGTGTTTCGGAGCTATCTTCTTCTTGCCGGATTCCTCGAAGCTGCTCAGCGGAGTTTTCTTCCGCTCGTCGTCGGTGGAGGCAGAGACGCGCACAGGTACGGTCAGTGACACCAGCACCGGCACGGGCAAGGATGAGAAGATCCTCGCCAAGATCAGAAAAGACCACGAAAAGGCGCTGATTGAGGCCAAGGACACCCTACAGAAACGGCCGGACGAGATCAAGCAGGACATCAACAGCGACAAAGCGAAACTTGTGCAGAACGGACAGGGGAAGGGAGCGAAAGCTGACAGCTTGCCGTTCGTTCAGTACGCGCGGCCGCCGGGAGCAACAGGGCACGAACCCGCCGATCCTGACGTTAAAGCGAAAAGAGCCAAGATTAAAGAGGTATGGTGTGTTTTTATTAGATGTCCTCCTGTGGTTTGCGCAGGTTCTCGAAGGAAATCACGTCAGATATTGTTGTGAGAATAACTTTCCCCGTGTAACTTGGCGAAACCGAGTGCTGTTATTAATATTAGTTTATTGTCGCTACTAGTGGCTAGAGAACAAAACGAGAGTAGTGTTGACAGTCAATTTCAGGAAGCGTTTCCCCGTGAGGAAAATGCGGCGTTGTAATGGGCTACGATAGATAAGTAGACGTGTTGTTGTGGAACCTGTACGGTCTGACAGCTCGATTGATGGACAAGAAACTCCTGTCGCTCACAGAAGAACGCGCGCTCATTCATTCTGTCGGTCATTCACCGAACTGTAGTTTGTTCAAAACTGACTGACAGTATTTTAGTCAGTATCCCCCCTTTCACTCAGTATTTCAGTCTGCGCTCCCTGTTGTCAGTACCCCCCCAGCAGTGCCTGTCAGTAGGTACTTCAGACAGTGTTCCCCTCTCTTCAGTCTGCACTGCTTCTGTTTCAGTTAGCATTTTCTGTATTCGAGTCAGTTTTTTAGTACTTTAGACAGTGATGCCTTCTTTTTCAGTCAGTTTTGCCTCTGTGTTGCAGTCGGTGTACCCTTTTTTCCGTACTCCAGTCAGTATTTTTTATTTCTTTTTGCATTTCAGTCAGTATTTGCTATAGCTAGGAGTGTTTCCTGTGTTTACATGATTTTCAGTCAGTATTTTAGTCAGTATTCTCTGCTTTTTTTCAGTTAATATTTTAGGCAGGTTTGTTCCCCTCCAATATTTCCGTCAGTATTTCCGTTTACAGTCCTTGTTTCATTTTATGCTTTTTTTTCAGTATTATCTGTATTTCCGTCTGTATTTGGGATTTTCAGTATTGCAGTCAGTATATTAGCCTGTATTTTTCAGTCAGTATTGCCTCTGTTGCAGTCGGTGTACCCTTTTTTCCGTACTCCAGTCAGTATTCAGTATTTTTTTTTTTTTGCATTTCAGTCAGTGTTTGCTATAGCTAGGAGTGTTTCCTGTATTTACATGATTTTTAGTCAGTATTCTCTGCTTTTTTCAGTTAATATTTTAGGCAGGTTTCTTTCCAATATTTCTGTCAGTATTTCCGTTTACAGTCCTTGTTTCATTTTATGTTTTTTTTTTCAGTATTACCTGTATTTCCGTCTGTATTTAGCTGATTTTCAGTATTGCAGTCAGTATATTAGCCTGTATTTTTCAGTCAGTATTGTAATTAGTAAGACTGTCAGTATAAAAGTCTTTATTCCTGTCCCTTTTTTCAGTGTTTCAAGCTTTTTTTTGATATTTCCGTTAACATTTGTCTATATTTCAATATCTATTCCCTATTTCACTCAGTATTTTAGTTTGCATTTCCCTGTTTTCCCCCCCGGTTAATCAGCATTGCCTAAGTTCCTGTTAGCATTCCCTGTTTTTTTTTGTCAATATTTATCTTAGTATTCCTGTATGCGTTTCACTTTCTATTCCTTGTATGTCAGGCTGTTCAGTCATAGAGGTTTTTACGTGATAAGGGCAACCTTTTTGTTTAAATGTAAACTGGGCAAATTATATCACAAGTTTAAGGTGCGTCATCACTATCATGCTCCTGATATGTTAACAGTAGTGATAATAGTAAGCCAAAACCTATCTAGCTTATGATTACTAGTTACAAGGGCTCAGTAACTTATGCTGATATGCACTATATAACAGAATCCCTTTGTTTTGATGAAGTACTAGTAATAATGTAAAATATATATCAAATATTGGCCAATAACCAATATAGTGCAATATAGATATTTAGTGCATCCCTAATTAATGAGCATCTCAATCATGTTTTCCCTTTTTGATGACTAGTAATATTTTTTGTTGTACGTATAGCGGTAGAGATGCCTCGATCAGGTTGAGTTGAGCTCATCTCAATATCTTGGTTGAGGTGACCTGTTAAAGCGTTGACTATGAGCTTGTAAAGGAGCATAAACAAGGCTGTCATTTCTTGTTTCTGTCAGGATGGTGCATTTAGAGCATGTCAGGCCAGTCTAATAATCCTCAGTATGAGTCGAATGTAGACTTCGCATCAGCTTGATTAAATTAAATTTGCTATTGATTGAGACTCCGTTATTCCCATTTGAATCAGGCAAGTCCAGAGTAAAGATGCAGATGAAAACTGACAGCATGGTAAAGCTTTAAAATCACCTTTCAGCTGGTATTGACCTTGTGTCCTTGCTTTTTTTTTATGTAAGCAAATAGCTGGTTTCTGGAATTCCTCCTAGTTTATCCTCCACAATGAGTCACTACGTTTCAGTTATTTGCATAAGGAAATGGTGTCTGTGCTCCTACTATGTCCTTCAAATTTACATTGTGTCACTTTGTAATTCTAGTTTATGCTCTGAGATGTTGCCCTACTCTTTCTTTTTGCTGGAGGGCTTGAGTATATTCAAGCATGTGACTAAAAGGCTATTCCATTCACACTTGATCTAAATGGCTAACAGTGGAAAACCTGCTGATAATACGGTTGCTCCTCAGAGTTAGTCCGCCAGAGTTGGATGAGTTTTAATGCCATGATTAAACCGTTATAAAGTCAAGCACATTAGTGCATGCGGAAGCCTCCACGTTCCTCTCCAAGACCATTGGTGTTCCTGCAGATCTGACAAGTCCCTCATCTCTCCTGCTTAATGCAGTGGCTCAGCATGAGAACAGTGATAATTCACCCCTGAATAGCAGGATTTCATCCATTGATCGCTGGCATGACGGAAACAAACAGTCACAGCTGGACCCTGTGGGGTCTCACTTGTCAGACGGGCACTACGGGCACTCTGTCTCGCCCCGCCAGACACTCTGACCTTTGAGGAGCTGAATTGCCTTAGAAAATAAATTGATCTCAAGGTTATGAAGTAAAAATGGTTGTGAGATTATTTTTTTCTTGCTTTTATAACTAAAAGCAGGAAACTCCTAAAAATGGATGGGTCACAGTAGGGCTGCGCGATTATGGCAAAAATCATTAATCATAAATTAGAAAATAGTTTTTTGAAATGTTAGAAATATTTCACAATGTTACTGTTTTTACTGTATTTTTGATCAAATAAATTCAGGCTTGGTGGGTGTAAGAGACTTTTTAAAAACATTGAAAATCTTACTAACCCCAAACTTTAAACAGTTGTATGTTTAATATTTCTTTTTTTTATTTAAACTGCTTTTCTTAAACAATTAGTATGTTATTAACAGTAAATGATCAACAATCATTTAATTAGAAGGAAGGCTAGGCCATAATGTAATTAAAAAGTTTTGACTTCACAAAGTGCTCCAAACCGGACCTTAAATATTTCCCACCACATGTATTTGCTTATGGCTCTTTAGCTATACTTGGAGGACAAATGCAATATGTTTGTATTGAGGGTGGCCAGTATGCTTCAGTAACAGCACTCATTTTGTCATTCGTACTTCACAAAAGTACTTTTTGTTTATGGCTTCTCACCTGCACCTGTAATGCTCTTCCTTGAGCGTGACTGCCGCAGGAAGTGCTTGCAGGACACATCACACACCCATCTGGGCTCTGAGCTCCTCTCATTCATTATAGATGACAGAACTTTCCGGTCGCTCAGACCTCATTCCTCTCACCATTAATTATGCACAATTCAAGCTAATAAGATAAATTTATTCTCATTGAGACATTCACAGGTTATCGATGTTTGGGGCAATGTAGTAAACATGTAAAAAATTAAACTTTAAATGTACATATGGTGAAATGGAGAGAGCAGAGAGTGATGGATTCAACCTAGTGGGCATTTTGAAAAAGTGAAAGGTTCATAACTCATACAGGGAATATAAAGTGCATGAAGTTGACTTGGATCTTGGATGAAAGGCAGACTGTGACATCAGTTGTCTTTTATGTCAGATTATGCAATATACATCTTAGGTAGAACCTTACACAAAATGACTTAAACGCATTCATTTTCAATGACAACTTCCATTGCCTTATGAGACCGTGACTGCTGGCAACAGGATGTGGGCATGTAAACACATTTATTTGATTTAATCGTTGCATGCCACATTAACTGCTCCAAAACTGATTCTGCTCTGTCACAGGGCATGACGCTTACTTTTTCCCCAAGGTGCCCATGTAAGTTTAAAAATTTTAGAAGCGCATTAAAAAAAAAAACTTTTGATGCACAATGATAATTGATCAAATAATATGTAGCTGTAATAAGAAGATTATTGTGTTGATGCTAGTAAAATCTGTTGAGTAATTGTGACGAGGCAGCCAAGAAAGTTTCTACAAAAGTTTCAGTTGATGTAAATGCCAGATAAAGTTAAATCGTGTAATCAAAATACCACCAAAATATTAAGGAGGAAAAAAGAATTTATGCATATTGCAGGTCAGGAGTTTTAATTATAAACAAGGCCAAAATACACAATGCTCTTAAGTTTGAAGCGTCTATGCTTTATTATTGCTGGCTGCTCATTCAAACAGATAGGCAGGATAAAATATGCACTGTGACAACCGTCTACAACAGATTACAATATAATCACAATAAAGTAAACATAATTAATCAACAGTCAATCATGAGCAATCTCTTAAATGTGTGGTATTCATTGATTGCAAACTGCTCTGAAACTGCAAGCATGTGGATCTTGACGCAACGGCACCATATTTTTACTTTGAAAAATGCAGCGTTCATAAGGAATTCATAGCCTTTTGAGGTTTAATAATAACATTAGATAGAATTTTTTTTTTTGCCATTCCTGTTTTTTGTTTGTTGATACAGTAGTTAAAGTGCCCCTATTATGGGTAATGAAAGGTTCATATTTTGGTTTTGGGAGTCCCCAACAACAGGTTGACATGCGTGCAAGGTAAAAATAAAACGCTTTCATTGTCTTATATGCATTTATTTTTACCTTACTTGCTCAACGACTCCCAAACGATTCACTCAACGATTCATTTTTCCAAACCCCTCCTTTGCGTGACGCTAAACTGTGGTGATTGGTCCAATTGGTCTCATTTTCATGTCATCATACCTATAATGCCTGATAAAGCAGCGTTTGTGAGCACAGTGGTGCTTTGTGTGTAGCGTTACCAGGGAAACCACTATTTTTACCGCTCCAAAAGCGGCACCTAGTGGCAAAAAATGAATTTGCATTTATATTCCAACCAACAATTGGGTGGGCAATATGCTAATGTTTCATGTTGACATGAACATGAAA